AGGAAAACCAAAGGAATTAAAAAGCGTTGAACAGTGAATTATGCATGAGTGACCCTGTGAATCATATTGGAAATTGCCTTACGAAACAGAGGAGTTCTGAGGTTTCTAAATTCACATAAGAAGGATCCAAGTCCCAAAATAAAACGATCGAGGAATTTACCCAGCACCCGACCATGTTCTGATGAAAATTCCTCATGTTAGAGACTCAAAGGTCAACTCTTGGTACTCCCTCATTCAGAAAGATGGTGCTTCTGTTCAGAGTTCTGATGTGACTGAAGAAAGTGTGGATGGAAAAGCCAATAACCATGAACCTTAGTTATTGGATCAGAATACAACTAATGAGGGTGACAACTACAGCTGGGGGAGATGGCGGCAATCAGACACCAAGCATGCCAATAATTGATCTTTTGGGGATATGCTCCTCCATCTTCCGCGGTTTGCTTCACTATCAAAGTTCTTGTTTGACATTTGTAAAGATGGGGATAATCAAAGGCGCGATAGAAAAATGAGAAGTTTACTCTTATACTATCATTGTTTACGGGTATTGCAGATTTTCTCAAGGGGTTTGATATATGAAGTGATTGACTGTGATGACTTTTGGAGACTGAATTCCAAACTGCACCTTGTAAATTGGTAGGATTCAAAATTTTGGGTTGATGATGAATCCCATTATATAATTATATAAAGACGAACCACAGATGGGATAAGCTATAGTTTTTTTTTTTAAGTATCTTGTCTGCAAATATTAATGTAGTTTATCTTAGAACTTTTATTCTTTGAATCCCAACTGTGACCATTAAAAGTTCTGAAATATCATGCTAGTTTTCTCTCTTGATTGTGTCATTTTCATTCCTTAATTTATAAGAAAAAAAAACATTAGGAAGTCCATGTGAGAGAAACAGGAATTTGTGTCCAAAATATCTGCCAAACGCAGCGAGCATTACGCATAAAGTCCTCGAAAATTTATTCTTTTTCGTCTAAAGTCTGAAAACTTGGTTTTATTGGGCTACCATACCAACGAGGAAGTCTAAAGGCCTCACAATGCTGCACAAGCAAGTGCATCACAATGACATCTTCGTAGGGTGTAGGTATTAGTACGGCCCTACACTAGGTGTAGGTATTAATAATTAGGACAGGTCAGTGCAAAAGTAAAGTAGGCCATTAATAGGGCGAGAATGCTTTTATTCTCTGCTTCTTATCAAGATTGTTTAGGATAGTATATGAACATTGTTGACGTTATTTTACAAAAGTCAAAGGTATATGTGCATCATTGAAGCATAAAATGAACATACAGGGAACCTCTTTTAATTTCATATACTAGAAGTAGAAAAAGTAGATTGTTGCTAGCATTATTATTGTCAAATTGAGTGCATAAGTAGGAAGCTCAATGAGTCAAGCTTTAGCATAAAATTAACAGATATGTTTAGAAGCATAAATTTTAAGGTCTCAACTTGCTGCACATTGATCCGGGGATAGAAAATTCAGGTACAATTTTACAGACATATTTCTTTTGAGAATAAAAACCCCATGCGTAAACAACAGTAGTTCCATGTTTAACTTCTCCAGAAGTAGCTTAGCTCACATAAGAAAAAGTCAGCTCTATACTTAAATCTCAAGCAACACAATGATCTGTCTGAACCAAAAAATAAATCAGGCTTGCTACTAGTGTTGCAGACATCAGAGGGTATGCATCTAGTGGATCAATTCATTTATCGACCCCCTTCACCTACCTGCAAACTGCGTAATTGTATACATGATAAGAAAATAATCAGATAATAACGGAAATATATCTATAACAAACTTATGTATAACAAAAATATATCTTTACATTGTAAGACAGCAAGCAAGAACGACATCTGATATTAAATTGGTAGTTCATTGTATTTAGGTGATATTAACTACTTGTATGTTTGATTGCTAAAGTCTATCCTTGATACAGAGAGTAATTATATAGCATATCTTAAAATCTATCAAGTTAATCATGTTTACAAAATATGAATAGCTGCTAACAAGATTCGATGAGGGAGTTGTGTTATATTATCTAGAAGGCTTAGCTGAAGCTGAGGATACACACATAGGTTCATACATTTCTCTGCCTCACATTGACCCCCAATGCCCACTACATTCTACAATTTTGACAGATTTTTTTGCCAACAGAACATCAGTGAAGCAATAGCCATAATACTCCAACTACAATTAGACAAAATACATCAATAACATCAACCTGCATTGACTTTTCTGCAAAGACTAATCTACACCCAGAGAGTTGGAACACAAACTCAGAGACATGAATCTTAGTACTCATAAACAATAGTAAAATACAATACAATAAGACATAACACATCAATTGGGAACTTTTCTGCAAAAACTAATCTACACGCAGAGAGTTGAATGCAGACTCATAGACATAAATCCAGTACTCCGTATGCATAATTTTATTTTAAACCTGTACATAACAAAATAATTTGATGGACGTTTCATAGAGATGAGAACATGGAGTGAAAATTCAGAATAAGATTATGAGATTTTTCAAGAAATGACGCAACTACAAAGAGAAAAAATATCAACTGAAACAGGAAACAGAAAAGGAATAAGTAACAAGTGATGTACCGATAGTTGTCCAACCTTTTAGTTTCAGCAATGACAATGAATGTAATTATTATACGAGACTTCCAAAAGGAATTAGAAAGAAAATATTAAATGTTATAAGAATCATACAACATAATGTATGTGTAAAGACATTTAGTTTAATCTATGTGTCAATTAACAGTTATTTACAATGCCTTTTCACAGTAGTTTGTTGCATATTCCGCAAAAGTACGCCTAGTCCAAAAGTTCAATTACCCATCACCACCAATAAACCAAAGAAATAATGCCAAATTACGCACTTCTAGTCCACTACAACTCATGTAACAAGGAGTATCAAAAATTCCAAACATACAAATTAACTCATAAATGACATGCTTAATACCCAATACCAAAACACACTCTACACCCATCACATACACAATACCACTCAACAACCATCACGTGTGCAACACCTATCACATACTCACATCGTCAAGACACACAAGCAATAATACGAACCCTTTGCCCACACACCTCAAACACTATTCACACACAATGTAACCTAAAACAACCCGAAAACACCACACCAAAATAGCCCCCAAATCGATATCAAATGCTTACCAGGAACAGGAAATCAATATTGAGATCCACAACTTGAAAATCTTTTAAGAACATCTGAAAATGACTCTGTATATCCCCTGTTAAATTAAAAAGTGTTAAACAAAAATTTTAAACAACATAAAAGATGTACATTAGAAATAACAAAATATTAAATTCTTACCAACTAGAATTTTTTGCATAATCACACAGGGCGTCATAAAGTGTTGTATATATTGAAGGAAAACACTTTTGTAATTAGACTTTCTCTTTCCTCAAGAGTCAAACCACCCTATAAAAGATAAAGATAAAAAAATTAGCAGCATGCAATAATTAATTAATATTTTCGTAAATAAAATAGAAAGAAAGTCATTACCTTTTTCCCGCGTATAGTATCATATTGATAGTCATTAGCATGGGAAAACACTGCATGAATAAAATTAATGACACGAAATGGTTTAACATAAAAGTTGCTGACAATAACAAGTCATTTGAGACTTCAATCCTCCAATTTTGAGTCCTAAAATTCGGAGTCATTTCATTATTGAAAGCCTTCTCATTGATTAACCTTTCTTTAATAGCCACTTCAAGAGACTGGATGAATGAAACCCGATGATTTATCGACCAGATAAACGGGTGATCAATCAACAACATTGGATGAATGTTATCACATCTGTTAGAAATAAAACATAAAATTTTTAATCATACAAGTATACCTATTTATTAAAAAAAAAAAAAACTTTATAAGTAATGTACAGTTGCAGATAACAAGCTTTTTAATAGTTACATAAACAAAATATACAAAGTATAATATTAGCATAAACTGAACTTATAATGAATAAAAAGAATATAAAAACAGATTTAAGGGAAATTTACTTACATTTTCCTGACTCTTAAGCTGTTTAAAAAATGACCTAATTCTAAAGGCAGTTCATAAGATAGCTCAAATTCTTTACGCCAAGTTTCCAAATCTGGTCTTGATCTTGGTCTTATCAAAGTAATGACTCCTTCAATAATGGACAACAAATCAGACACTTCTTTTTGCGCTTGACTGAATGTAAATTTTTCTTGAGAAATATGCAATATTTTGGCTTCTCCCTCCTCAGTAACGTAGAGTGATTTTTCCAGATCACTACAGACTTTTTTGATCTGAATATATGACAAGCATGCCACATATTACGCCTCTACAATACAATAATATATTATTAAATTTCATTCATAAAATAAAAATATATAAATTAACAAAGTAAATTTTTTACCGAAATATTGATAGAAAGTCGTCTTTGATATATTCCCACCATTTTTTACAAGTTTGAGCCATTGCTTCCGATTTGAAATCTTCAAGCTTCAATTCAAAGAACACTTTTACTGGACGGACCGGCTCAACAATTGCTACCCTACTGGAAAGGGAGTGGAAATACATTGAAAATTCAATTTTCAATAGGCATGAGTTTTTCTTAAGCCTAATTGAGACATCTGAAGTAGAATTCTCGCCAATTTTGATATACGACTTGGGAAAAGAACTCCCGCCTATCTTCATTACACCAAGATATGAAAATTCATCAAGCTGGGTCATTTCAAAGTATATCACACCATCCTCTGTAAACTGTAAATATATATTTATCAATACAGAATAGAGAAAAATGTTTAACAAATAAAACGATACATATTGTTCTAGACAACTCTTGATCCTTGTGCAATAACACTGAATCTAGACAACATATGTTCTTTAACTGCTCTTGCAATCATTATTGTTTTACTGTTCTATAGAAAATGGCTTAAAATCTCTACTAACTTTGCTTATGTTGAAGATTGTAACAGATAGCTTATTTCAAATTGATATATTAAAGATGTCTCGCTGGTTTAGTATACTATATTTGGCAGCAAAGAAACAAAGCTATGTAGACTTTTCATCATGATGATCATACACATGTAACTAGTCCTCCGAAACAAAATATGCATTATAGAATTTACAGATTTCTTCCAGGAACTAGTAGTGATGAGCTAATGATGTTAAATGGTTGAGAACTGTATTTAAACATGTAGTCTTTTAACTCTTAGTGTTTGTTACGCTTAGGTCTTGAATGTAATGGCTAATCAGTGACCTAATAATATTTTTTTGTTCTTTCCAAATAAAAAAAATCATAAAATTAACGAAAAGTTGAGAAGAGATTACCTTCATCATTTTTTGGGAAGAGGCATCCACACCCAAAGATGAGGGATCCAAGGTCAAAGAAGGGATCGCCAAAGTCGAAGCGGACGCAACCAAGGTCGAAGTGGATGCAGCCTTGGTCGGGTGGATGCAGCCTTGGTCGGGTGGATGCAGCCTTGAGTGGAAGAGGTCGCAGCCTTGGTGGAAGAGGAGGCAGGAGCCTTGTGGAAGAGGAGGCAGCACGCTCATCATCCAAAAATTTACTAGCTCTTTCCACTGCAATTCTATCCAAATCTGGTTGAACTTTCGGTTGTAGTCTTTTTATCCATTTGAGACAGTTTTTGAATGCTTCATCATCTACACAGACTGCACCCTTCTGATCATGCACATATTTATAAAGGAGATATGCTTCCAAAATATTATTTTGCTTTCTGTTAGCATAACTGCAAGGCATTTTAAAAAATTTAATTAATGTCAACGTGATTAAAGATGACTAACTATTGTCTACTGTATTGTCTGTATAGAATCAATTCAAATAAATATCTTGTAACAGTTACATCATCCTGATAATTTATCAAAAATCCTTAGAAAGGAAGATAATAGACTTACGCAAACATAAACCATTCACCAAGTGCCAAAGTCGTTTTATGTCCAAATTCTTCGAGTCGTTTTTGCAAAGCCAATACCTCTGATCATACAAAATTAAATGAAAACATTAAGATAAATGAAGTACAAAATAATACAAATTTACAATACAAATAACACAAATATGCTTTCCAAATTTCTGGATAAGTCTTGATTTAAACAGTTTAACCTAGTCAATATTTGTTAGCTTTCTTTATCTCTCAAGTTGTATATTTCAAGATTAATATTCGCTTGCATTTCTCTATTGTTTCCTTAGGAAACTGAAAATGTTGTATTATCTTTTCCAAGCTTTCTTTCCCTAAGCCTTAAAGCCACTCACTTGTAAAAAAAAAAATAATCAAAAGCTTTCCAAATCTTACCGATCCTAGTAGAAAATAAGAATTAAAGCAAACAATAGACCATACTACATCAAACCATTTCATTGGAGGAAAATAAACTTACCTTCAAACCGTTTCAAACCTACAAGTGCATGCACTTTCATAGAATAGACTTTTAAATTTTTCAACCACTCATCATCAAGAGAAATGATAAAATCCAAGCACTCTTGTAATCTTTCTTGCTCCCACAAAGCTGAAATCTTCTTTGTTATTTCATCCTGAAATTTTATCCTTTGAATTCTTTTTTTTTGCTGCCGTTTCTTCTTTGTAGCACCTTGAGTCATTTTCTTCACTCTGATTACAAGGCAAGTCATTGATAAGAAGCTAAAAAATTGACATCGCTTTACCACTCTTAACTAAACTCAAGTTATGAAAGCTACTACAACACTAACATGACTAAATCAGCCCATATAACTCAAACAAGACATAGGAAGAACAATCTTTTTATATTAACAACACCACACAGGGATCAAGTGATCAACAGCAGCCCCGCTGAGATAGAACCAAGACAGCAGACCACAGGAATTTCAAGAAGGCATGAAACCTAGCACACAATTCCAAATCAAGAAATTCTTGAGCCTAGATTGAATAACTTTTCAAGATCTACAACTTTCATGAAGGAACTATGGGCTAGAAACGTCTGCAGGTCTATTATTATGGGACGAACAGAACTGCAGCTGCAGGGCAATTGCAAAATAAAAGCAGTAGCAATACAACAGGCAGCAGCAGGATTATATAACAGGCAACAACAATTTCAGCAGCAGGTAAACAGAATAATAGAATATAGCAGCAACTAGACAACAAAATTATAGCAGAAGTAATAAGTTACTAACATTCAAGCAACAATACTACTTCGTTAACAATAACATTATTTCAACCTTTTCTACATGTAATGTCAGCAACACTCACATACAACAATAACATTATTTCAACCTTTATAAGCAAAAAGGCAAGACATCCAAGAGTAAATAAATTTATGCTGTCCCAAACATGAGCTTCACGTGGAGATCGATTCTAAGTGCTAGGGAGGTAATTGAGAAGGGTGCCATAAAGACTATTGGTGGGGGAAGTAGTGTCGGTGCCTAATCTCCTAAAGTTCCGAATTCTGTCACAAATGAAGGATGGTAGTGATGTTCCAATGTATGTCAAAGATCTGTGGGAAAATCAGAGCTGGAATTGGACTACTCTCTCTGAGTTATTCTCTCAGCGGGAAATTGATGGAATTTGTAGTATTCCAGTACCTCTGTTTGATGAGGAAGATGTTTGGTCATGGCATCACTCGAAAGATGGGCGTTACAGCGTAAAGAGTGCTTACAACCTCTTGGTCGAAGAAGAGGTAAAGGATAAGGCAACCTCGTCAAATGGGCATGTAGTTTTTAATTGGAAGAGTATTTGGCATGCCCGTATTCCACCAAAGATCAAATTATTTGTGTGGAGAAGTGTGAGGGAGGGGCTGCCTGTTATGAGCCGGTTGATGGCTAGGGTATGAATGTAGATCAACGTTGCCCTATGTGTGGGGAGGGAGAGGAAACTACTGCTCATACGCTTCTCTTCTGCCTGCAGCATCCTCTATTTGGAGACATTCTGCCTTGCGGCTTGACACAAGGGCATTTGATGCTGATGGGTTTCGAGGTTGATGCAATCTGATGTATGGAAAGATCAAGGAGACGAATTGGTGGGATATTTGGTGCCTGGCGTGGGGAATCTGGTTGAAACGCAATGCATGGGTCTTTGATAAAAGAGAGAAGAGGGAGGCTGACATTCTTTACAAGACAATGTGCTTGGTGGGAGAGTTTGAAGAAGCTAATGCGAATGCTGATATGGGGATGCAAGTGCAGTATTTCAGCTCTAGATGGAAGCCTCCTGCTGCTGGTCTGTATAAGCTAAACACAGACGCAGCCTTCCAAGGTCAGTGGCTGGGAATTGGTGGGATATTGAGAAATGAGGAGGGGACTGCTGTGGTAGCCTTTTGTTCGAAAGAGAATGGGAAGGTAGATGTTGCTGTTGGTGAAGTGATTGGTATGAGATCCAGCCTAAAGATAGCCATGGAAGCGGGCTTTAGGAACTTTATCCTGGAAACTGATAACATTAAGTTGTTCCACCATCTGAAAAAGGGCTCCATATCTCCTTGCTCTTTTGGCAATTTGGTGAGGGATATTCTGATGCTTGCTAGAAGCTGTCAGAGTTGTGTTTTTTCTTTTGTTAGAAGGTCGGGTAATATGTTGCCCATAGCTTAGCAAAGTTGAGTTTTCAATTTTAGTGAATATCGTGTTTGGCTTGAAGAGTACCCAACTGAAATTCAGGGGGCTTTATGTCACGATATTGAAAACTTGGTGAAATAATAAATTGAGCTAAGATGCGTTTTTCGTCAAAAAAAAAGAGTAAATAAATTTATACTCCATATATACCCAAAAAATCAGAGCCTTCAAATATGGCAAGTTTCACAAACCAAAAAACGGCAAATTTCACAAATCGGCAAGTTTTTATTCAACGTTTAAAACCAAAAAAACGGCAAGTTTCACAAATTACTCAAATTTCAAAACCAAAATATGGCAAGTTTCACAAATTATCTACATCAAGATCAACAGGGTAAGTGGGTAACCAAAGCATAAAAGGCAAATATCAAGCTCAAACCAGAAAACCCCCGCATGTTCTTCAAAACCCAAAACAGAGGAAAAAAAAAACAACCTTATTTAAACAATATTAAGAATCAGAATAACAAACTACTCAACGTTTAAAACCAAAAATACGGCAAATTCACACATTACTCAAATTTCAAAACCAAAATATGACAAGTTTCACAAATTATCTACATCAAGATCAACAGGGTAAGTGGGTAACCAGAGCATAAAAGGCAAATATCAAGTTCAAACCAGAAAACCCCCGCATGTTCTTCATAAACCCAGAACAGAGGAAAAAAAAAAAAACCTTATTTAAACAATACGGAGTATAAAGCAACAGTAGATGAACGAAATTCCAGAGAAATACAAAATAAGATATTTTACCATGTAAAATCAACTTGATCAAACTCAAAAACCCTAGAATGAGAGAATATGAAGCAAATAAAAGCAACCCACAAATTAAAAAAAAAAAAAACACATATCATACAGACATACACCATACTAACAAAAACAAGCTCATTAAACTTAGAAACAACAAAAAAGAAAGAAATTACCTCACAAGAAAAATATGATGACCCAAATGAGGAGAGAGAAAAAGGTTTTGAAATTTGACTACTAAAAATGGCAAAGAAAAATAAAAGAAGAAGACAGAGTTTTCATGAAAATGGAGGTTTTTTTTTTTTTTTTTTGTGGAAATGGAGTTTTAACATGTAGAATTGGTAGGATTGTAGGAAGAACCGAAGAAGTAAAACCTATGAAATGATGGAGAGAGTTGGGCAGCAGAAATTACAACGCCAATAGCCCAATATTACCACCATTGTCAGTTCGTCCACTGCCCATGAACTCTAGTGACTAGTCGTTTCACATAATTATAATTGTACTGTGGAGGACTACGTAATACTCCGTAACATGTTTTTTTTTTCTCTTTCTTTTATATTTGTCTATGGAGTATGTGTATTTAAACATCAATTTATTTTTTGGTAAGTATACGTGTTTTAAAATTACATATACAATTGATAAAAGTTGACACGACATGAATTAAATAAGAAAAAAAAATGATTATTGTTAAGGGTTTTTAATACATGTAATTAAACGGGTCAACATGATATGACACATTTAATTAAAACAGATCAGTATTGATATTCTCTAACAATACGTTAACCCGACTCAACCCATCTAATATAAAAACCCTATAATTTATATAATTATTGATATATTATATAGAATAAGGCTAATATTTTTCATACAACACGATACGAACCGGACACGAAAAAGTGAGTTAGTGTTAAATGTATTCAACACTTTTAATCAATCAGATTAACACGTCCTCAACTTGTTTAATTTCCGACACAAACAGACACGACATGATTGCCAGCCCTAGCTACATATAGTGCTTGTTTGGTTGCGTTGGAAATTAAATAATCATGCTAATTTACATTTCTTAAGAAATAATTTCTTTCATATATTTTATTTTATAAGAATTTGATGGTAATTTATATTTCTTAAGAAATAATTTCTTTCATATATTTTATTTCATAAGAATTTGATAAACTGTTTGGTTGACATATGATAATTTGCATTTTTTGTAAATTGTGAATGACTTAGGGTAAGTTAGGTACAAAGTAATTACTATTAAAAAAGGGGGGTGGAGTAATTAACTTCCTATGATTGGTAGGACCTCAAAATTTCCAAAAAGTTACAATTAGCCTATTTGTACGGTATATTTCATGCTAAACAAGCAACAAGATATCTAAGCATTTTATAGGAATTTCTCTTGCCTATATTAAACAAGTACAACCAAACAGCTCATATCATTTTCATCATTTTCTTAAATTTGTTTCTTTTACAAAAAAAAAAAAAAAAAAAAAAAAAAATGCTTATTTCATTCCGCCAATGTTGGAATTGCATATGATCGTAAAGTCTTTATAAAGTTATTTGGTTATCGATGTGAGAAGTAATTTTTCATGAAAAATTCTATCTACCTAAGGGATTAGGTAATTGAATTCCTACCTTTTGTAATTTTTTTTCACTTATGTCATTTCCTCTTCGTTTTTTTTTCAATCAAACAACTCCCCCTAATTACAATTTTAAGGAATTTCTATTTCTCATTTTTTTTATCTACAAAACGAAAAACTAATACCCCATACTATGTACTCTGCGATTAAATTAAAAGGTTAATGTACAACAAATAAATGGAGAATCCATCCTTTCTCCTCTCTATTTGTGGGTTTAGCCTCTATATGCAGGGACCAATCTGGAGATTGGGTCTTAAAGATAGTCTCCCACATCTGTTGTTGTGTTAACCCACTACAAGTTGAAATTCTTGCAATTTTATCAGCTTTTTTCTTAATTAAACAAAAATGATGAACCCATGTCACAATTTAGTCAGATTGTCACAATTAGAGCAAGATCAACTCTAATTCTATCTAGAATTTGTAACCTCCCAAATTAGAAACTTTTGAATGCTTGTTATGTACTATGTATTAAACAGAAGTTCTACTTAATCTGATGCTGAAACTAGAAACAACATTGTTTTAACTGCTCTAATGGCATGTATATCTAATTTGCTGTATGTTTAATATAGTAATTTGAGAATCACCATCTAGTTCGACACTGGTCAAGTACCAAGCACTGACTTAGAGCATTTCATTAATTTAAGTCAAGTTCTGCGAAGGATAGAAGACCTTAGGGGAAAGAACCCATACAAACTTTCTCGGAGCACTTACTAGTGTCCCACCTAGCCACTAAATGGGCAACCGTATAATTAATTATATGCTCTTTTTACATGAGAAAATATACAAGTATTAAAAGACATAACTATTCTACGTACATCATCGTAAATAAGCCTTATAGGAGACCATCTAGCAGCAGACCCTCTAATGGTGTTGATTACCCTTCCCCTACTCCCTTTTGACTCCTGATCATACACTTTCGTAACCCAATCTCTTAGCCATTTGACACCCTAACAGCAGCCACCTCCGCCAATTCCACATTCCAGTCCATAGGAGTCTTCTTATCCGCAGCCCATAATATGCGGCCAAAGTGATCCCTCGCAACAGCACCTAGACCACCACTTGTGCCAGCACCAAAGTGAGCGTCAACATTTATTTTAATTATACCTTCAGGTGGCAGCTCCATGTAGCATCTTTTTCAAGTGGGTATTGAATACTCTAGTCTCATACAGCGAGTAATCACAAACAAGCTTCAAAAAACTAGCAGCAATAATACCCATATTCAGCGATATTCCTTCAAACAGGAGCTTATTTCTGCAAACCAAATAATAGACCAAGTTGTAGCCAAGATGGTACAGTAATAAAATAATCAAACACAAGATCAACAAATAAAGTTCGTTAAAAGACCAACTATCAATTAAACCGACTCAAAATAATAACAAACAACCAAACTATCTTCATTAAAATTGCTACTCCATAATTTCCAATTTTCACTCAGCAATACTCACAATTTCAGCACAAACCCACAAATTCTTTTTGTTTTTTTTTTTTTTAAGAAAAAAACCCCATAATAAACTTAATAAAGTACAGGAGAAAAATCACAATTAAAATAATAGTAAAATTAAATTGATTTTTAGATAACAAAAAGGCCACTTAAATTTGAGGGAAAGAAAAGGAGAAAACATGTCTCACAATTTAAGGTGTTGTATTTCTTGCTTTCATATTCACTGTCCTTGTTCCGTCTTTTTCTTAGACGTTGTTGCGGCTCCTCCTGATCGCGCCCACAGGTCAGCCACCGTTGCTTTGTCCTCTTTCCATTGTTGCGGTTGTCGATGATGTGTTGCTGTCGAGACATAAAATTAAAAGAATTTGAGGATGATTAGATTAAAGATTTTTCTACAACACTCAATACCCATGGTGTTATAACTTTCAATATTTTCTACAACACTCAAATGCCCATCAAGGGTTTATTTTCATAACCTTTTGTATCCTATGTTACTACCTTAAATTGCCAAGAAGTATAGTTTACCAGATCAAATCTTTTTTACCAAAGAGACATCATATCACAGTGTTGGTGGTCCAACAAGCAAAGATGAAATTCAAAATTCAAACCGATCATTTAAAAAACGTACCAAAATTCAGAAAACCAAAGTAAAATTACAGAAAGAAACTGTCAAAAGGCCGTATAAGATCGAAACAAAGGGAAAAAAAGTAAGGCAAATAAATAGGAAACAGTTAAATACGATTGATTGCAGAAGAACATACCTGATTTGGGTTTGATATCTTCAAAGGTAACACCAAATTGTACCCGATCAAGGTCTATACAGCTCAATTTCTGTATCAAATTCGAAAAAACAAGATCAACAAACACGCATACAAAGCAAAAACTCCAGTGAACCATAAAAATATTATAACAAATTGAATAAAAAAAAACCGCCTTTCTGTCGCAGCCAATGAAAGGGGTGGCCCAAACAACCGTCGTAGGGAGGCGTTCTCTAGGATGACTGGATGAGTGACTACCCTAAAACCTCCGAACTTTCTCTGAGGAGAGAGAGAGAGATTGAAGGAGAAAGGTAAGGGCTGACCAGCTGAGGAGTAAGAAAGAGTTCAAGGGTAATAAAGCTGAGAACATTTCATTTCTGTAATAGAAACCACAAACACTGTTCCTAAGCACAGTCCAGCAAGTTTTGCCTTTTATACTCTCTTCCTCACCCACCCCCTCCCCCTCCCCTCTGCTACCCCTTCCCCCTGCCACCCCCATTCCCCCCCCCCCCCCCATTCCCTTCCTCTCCCTACTTCCCTCCTTTTCCCTTGGATGTAAGATATTTACACTAATTAATAAATACAAGTAATATATAAGTGGTAGTACTTTATATATAAAGGTTCAATATAGAGATCTCAAAACAATTTCTGAATTTGCCTTAACCACAAAATACATTCATATTCTTGTCTCTGTGATTGTCCGCCGTGCCTTTAAGAATAGTCAGGCCTCAGGCCCAAGCTTTCTAATAGCTTCCGCTATCTCCAAATTCCAGAAAATGATTACAATCCTCACACCTGTAGATACAAATAAGAAAACTATAAGGCACAAGATGTTGCTTCAATTCTTTCTTTAACAATTTTTGAAATAATAAGATCAGCACAGTACAGCACAGTGTGATAGTCTCTCTCACTGCATTTCATTGACTGAAAAAAAAAAAATTTGCTAGTCTGGCTATAAAGTAAACATCATCTTGAGATGGAGGTTACCAAAAAAATGTTGATCACATTTTATATATACATCTTGAGTAGAAACTTCAAGGTGTATGAGGTTGGTGAGCAAGGGACATCGACAGCAATTACGAGTTGCTGGAATTGTTGCAGCTCCGCTACCATGTATACCCCAGAATCTCGGAATTTTTATTTTTTTCGATTGATTGAATTTCATTTTGAGGTCTGTATAAAGAGTATACCTAATTTGCTCAAAATTCCAAACAAACCTGATAAACCATCTAGGATATTGATCTTCAAATCTAAGTCCAATAAGAATCCTAATTAGATTCATGATTAAACACTATTTGAGGTATTATTATTCTATGATTAAAAAAACAAACATCTTAATTAATGAGTTTGAGCAAAGACCCAGGAAAGAAAAAGGCATAATTTTTCAGAAATGAGAATTTTTACATCTTATTTAAGCACAACAAAATTGAAAAGAGAGAAAATACATTACAAGTTAATGAGCTTAATCTATATTATAAGTGGAGAAAATATGTTATAGACCTGTTACCCACCTCCACCAAGCCACCATTGTGGGTGTACACAAGGAAGTAAAGTGGAAGAGGGGACAAGAATCAACCACAGCAGTTGGCAACTGCTACTCTTCAGCACATGAAGACAAGGGTCATTAAGGAAACACTTAAGAAAGTGGCAACATGGGTGTGATTTATGAATTGCTAATGTGCTGAAGAAGACAAACACCAATCAATGTTAGGTTAACCTTTTGTAATTGGTAGCTTGAGTATATAAGTAGTAGTAAGAAGCCAGTAGAAATTATGTGAATTGTGAGGAAAATTGTTGAGAGAATGGTAACCTCAAGTTACTAAGAGAGTAATACCCTAATGTTATCAAAGAGAGTGATGACCTAGAGCTATTAACCTATCTCTTTGTAACGTTATTAGCCATTATTAATCAAATTTTAAGCTTTCATCTTTATTTATTAGCCTTGTTAAATCAGAAATACAAGCCTGATGATTTAGTCTATAACAAAATCAAGAGAATTGGGATCGAATTGGATCAGAAAGAACCTTAGCTTGTCAGTCATACTTTCACCACTTCCTGCAATCAAATCAAACAAAGAGCTTAATTCAATTCAATTAGAAAAGCTAGTGTTAGAAAAAAAAAAAAAAAAAAGCAGAGAGAAATTACGGCCAATAAACATAAAATTAAGATAAGCATAATTTTTTAACAATCCAAAGCTTTTTAATATGTTAGCTACACAATTTATCACGCTCGATTTTTCGAGTTTTTTTTTTCCTTTTCTTTTTTTTGAGATGAAACACTCGACTTCAAAAACCATTTCTCCTGGTCACTGCAACCAGTGTTAGGGGAAGAGAGACACAAAGAGGGAAGAAGAAAAGGTAACTAACAAAAGTACAACCATGGTACTTCAAACATGTCACCTTTGGTGTGCTCTTGGAGACAACTTGAAACAGACAAGAGAGCTTTCTTTACAGCTTGAAAATTTCCTGCCATATAAATTTCAGGAAAAGAGTTAATAATGTAGAAAAGGCATTTAAAACAGAGCTATGAAAAATCATGGACTGGTGACATTTTAGGCTTATATATGTCTTGTGTCATCCAATGCACAGCACTTCTTGATCTTAAACACTATTCCTATAAAGCAGCAAAAAAAAGACATCAAGGAAATCTACTTTGACATTGATCAAAATAGATCATAGTCTCCTCTTCATACTAAGACCCAAATAACTATACTCAGATGGACAGCATATATACATTAGTGTGGAAATATGTAGTACATTCTAGGCATATTACAAAATTCTTAAAAATGCAGAGTAAAGACACGAGATACAATCAATATAACTGGTAATGAAGTGGATTTCTCTAAGTCAGTTTAAGCAATACCATACCACCGACTTCTAGAATCAGCTTTCAGTTTCTGTACCTCTTATCTAACTGGGGCACAACGAAACAAACAATCCAAAATTGAACCAAAATTTATATCAACAAACTTAAAGATCTATCCATGAATTTATTCCACAAATTCAATTCGATTTCAATTTCATGACATTGCAAAACCTAGACTAGTAACCCCAATATCTTTATACCATATACTAATTCAAACATTAATACAAATGTCAATAACAATGGATGATTGATTAATTGAACATAATTCACAAGAAGTAGAATTATTGAACAATGCGACCTCCAATTCACCAATATATAACACAAAACTTAGCAGAATTAGAAATTGTAAAATATCAAATTTAACACTAATTCAACATAATATTACAGCAAGAAATCAATAATGATTGACAAAATAGTACTCACCTCATAAGCAGCGAGAATTTGGATGAAACGTTTCGAATCAGCAGTATCAGTATCCGCAGAAGAAACGAGGTCAGGGTGCGTTTCTTTAGCAAGCTTTCTAAAAGATGCCTTAATCTCCTCATAAGAAAAGTGCTTGACCAAGCCCGTAAAAAATGCACGCCCAAACCCAATTAGTCACTTATAATAATATGAACATTTAATAATAAACAAACTACAAACAAGTTAAAAAATACAAAATATGAATACAGTAGGAATTACTACTATCAATACATCACTTTTTAGGAATTACCGCCCCCAATGATTTTTTTTTAAAATTTACCACCCACCTTCAAATCTTCAAAATATCAATTGTTAAAACACGATCGGATTAGGCAAGTGTAACACTTTTTAAAACACGGAGGGAGTACCACCTTCACGTCATGTGGGGCCCATCAACGCGTTTTCTTTTCTATTTCCCTCTCGATTCTCCGATTTACACTCTCTGTTCATCACTCTTCCTAATATTCTCTATGAATTTGTGCGAAAAATCCAATTATTGCATTCAAGTATGTGTAATTGCTTTAAAAAAAAAGTATGTGTAATTAGGATTTTAAAATCCCAAATTGATTGCAAAAACCCTTATTACACATTAATTGGAAGTTTTACCTAAACTAAGAGAGAATTTTATGAAGAATGAAGAACAGAGAGGGAGAATCGAGGGAAGGGGAGGAAAAAAGAGGGAAATAGAACAGAAAAATTCGTTGGTGACCCCACATGACGTCGTCAATGAAGGTTTGGGCAAAGTAGTGGTGGTAAATTTGATGTTTTGAGATTTTGTAGGTGATAAATTTTTTTAAAAAAATAAATCATTCGAGGTGGTAATTCTAAAATGTGATGTATTGATGGTGCTATTTTTCAAATTTTCCTTTAGTATTAAAATATGTTTATTAATCCCTCCGTTTCGATTTAGTTGCAACATTAGAATGTTCACCAAATTTTAAAAAATGTATAAGGTGGGGCCCAAAAGAGAATTTTTATAAAATAAGTATGGGAATTTATCAATGATAACTTGTGATTTTGACTTATATCTTTGCCACACATCATTAAACTTTTATTATCAATGATACACCCGAATATAATCCTAAATAACTACCGTAAGCATAGAGATAATCATGGCTTTGAAATATAATGGCTTACCGTAAACATCATATTAACCTGACGTTAGTATTCTTAGTAATACACGCTTTAATTAATTGGAAAACAATGAAAACACCTACTGCCCCTCCTATTTACTCTCCATGCAACTTTCCCTCCCACATTTCCTTCCTTTATTTAATAGTGTGTAGCAAAGATGAAAGCATACCAGCAAGGAAATAAGACTTATTTTTAAGCATACCAGCCAGGCTACTACAATTCCAAATATACAACATAGACTAATAACACGAGAGTAGCAATTTAATAAAAGTCTACATGTCGGATCCAAGGTGAATACATTAAGTACTAATAACATGCCTTAATAAAATCATGATTGCAATTGCTGCTACGATCGCTATTGCAGCTAAAATAAACACATATGACTTTCAACATCAACGCAGCTCTTCACAATTCCAACTTAGACATGAAGCTCGTTCATTGGCCCTCAAGTTGCAACAAACCTATCTGCAGGTAGGCACGCAAAACAACAAATGAGAAGTTCAGAACTTACATAACTTTTTATGCTAAAGGCATAATAGACTTTCCATATCACAAGGTGATAGCTGTAGAAGTCAACTATACTATGAGAATTCTGGTGCATTTTCTTATACAGGAACCTTACAATGAATAAATGAAGAGCAGTACTAGTATTCCGGAAGATGCTTCACTTAAGGCATTCCTAGATTGAGGGCTTCTTCACTTATTGGAGGCATGACTTTTAAGCTATCAATCAATGGTTTGGCTGCTAGAACTCATACTAAAGCCGTACTACTTCACAACAACTGTTCACAACCTTTTGCTTAGGAGTTGAACACCCATCAGTACTAGCACAGGTTGTGTTCAAATACAACCAGCTAGTATAAGCTTGTTTACACACAGAAAAAAAGGAAGATAGTTCTACCACCCAACCCAACTAGGAAAACAACCCACAATCATGTATGACTGATATAGACTGAAATCTTCACAGTGATAGGCAATAATGTTTTTATGGAACTTCTAAATTGTAGAGAAATTCAAAATTAAGATGTCATGCCAATACCAGACAACAATTTAACCTTCTTTCTTATCAATTCTTAAGATTACACATCCATCACAACTCATACGCTTAATTCTACATTTTGTAATGATTGCTTAATTCTGCATTATATTAATGAGCATACATAAGGAAAAAAAAAATTGAAAGGAGACATAGGAAACGGAAGAAATGGAATATGGTTCAGGTTCATTATCCATAATGGACTCAAAACCTACCCTCAACTCCAAGACCCTAATAAACATGGTAAGAGTGATAACATTTTACGCAGAAACTGGTATTAAAATAGCCCAACAGGTACAATATGAAGTTCACCCCAAATACGAGAGAGCAGGGGACAGGGAAGAGGGTAGATACCTTGAAGGAAAGCTTAAAAGACAGAGTTAGACTAAATGAAGGCCTGACTCAGGACATAGATCAACTATTGAACAGTAATGAAAAACACGAGTAAAAATCAACAACTACTCATCTCATGAGTCGGAGAGACAAATGTGCAGCATTACAGGCAAAATTCATTCACCTCTACTTTTCAACCAATTTCATGTTCAAGAGAAGCTTAAACGATAGAAAGTAGGCTTGATTGATTCATGACATGTTTGAACTACTGAACAAGCAATGAAAATGTTGAGGAGCATTTAGGCTCCATTTGTTTTGACAGAAAACATTTTCTAAAGGTGGAAAACAATTTTCACAAAGGTGGAAACTAATTTTCTCTAAAGTGAAAAATATTTACAGTATGCCACACTTTTCTTCCCACTCTTTACATTCTTCTTCTATCCTCTTATCCATTCTCCCTTTCACTCTCACTTTCCCTTCCTTATCTTTTACTTTTTTAATTCTTTAAAATATTATTATTTTCCATGAAAAAATCATTTTCCCAAAAAATTTGTTTTCCTTAAAAACAAACAGAGCCTTAGAGGTGGGAAACAAATAAGCAATTTTTAAAGTATAACAATAATTTGCAAGAAGGTTAACATATATAGAATTATTGTCAATAGTCAAGGGTCTTTATAATGATCAGAACATATTACAATTGAATATAATGATCATAGAAATATAAAGTAATATTTAAGAATATAATGATCAAGAACATATTACAATTGAATAACCTTAACAAAAGCTTAGCTAGCTAACATACCTAGACAGGGAGGTAGAGAAAAGTACTGCAGCGAGAGGGGAGATTATAATGTTGGGAAGAAAAGCGGAGTGACAAGAATCTCCTTAGAGTTGGCATTCAAGTTGACGAGTTGGACTTTGAATTGGACAATATGATCAAAGCGGGGTTCTCGTCCCAAGGAATAGCGGAAAAGATCAAGCACAGCACGCCATTGCCCCGATGTAATAAGGTATCATATCTGGTATAAATAAGATAAGATCGATAGTCGGCTTTAGCCTCAGCCTCAGGGGACAGTCTTACGTTCAACCATTCTTTAGAGACTGTATCATAAGCCCTAAAGAATGCCTTCATTCTAGGATTATGAATATAGATAACCCCATCGTCTGCGATAGTCACGGCCTCTCCCCACCTTTGCCATCCACCTTTAAGGTCCTCAACCAGACACCGCCATTGATCCTCACATGGATAATAGGCATACATCGTTGAGATATACTGGAAGTACACTATGATTCTGTTTCTTTTTGTGATCCGCCATAACCGGAAGAATTAGTGCGGTAATCAAACAACTGATCCCCATCACCACACGGTGGCGGTGGGAACGGAGGCGACTTTAAGCGACGCCAATATTATGTTGAGGATCGAAAACCTCGCCAATAAAACCAGATTCGGAGTTGTCAAAAACATATATCTTCCCACCAAATTCGACGATACCTTCTGGCCACGCCTGATTGGCCCTTACGGCTGGTGACTGATCGAGCCCAGCGGTGGCTAGTCTCCAACCATCTTTAGGTTTGGTAAGATCTAGCATATGACATGAGAATAAGCCTTTCTGTTTCCTCTTACCTTTCTTGGGTTTTGATTTTGCGGAATCATCACCGTCACCGGAGGAGAACGATTTGCCGCCCCAAAAACATAAAGTGTAGATCCCACAACACCCACGGGAGGCTCACAACCATTACCAACCACGATACGAGGAAGTGATGAGACTTCCGCAGTGTTCAGATCCAAAACATAGTAAACAATTTCACAACAATCACGAGGTGCTATAAGTAAAGGGTTCCTGGGTTCAATCACCACGCCCCCTACTATCATCTTATTCTTCAATTCCCCTCTCTTTTCCACCACCATTTTTTCCGGCATCGCTTCCTCTCTTCAATTCAATTGATACCTAACACTCTAACACCCCCAATTTGCCACACTTGCGGTTGCGGCCCTAGATGCCTTTATTTATATGCCTTTATTTATACGAAGCCTAAGCAATCTAGGGTGGGCTTCTCTTGGGCGGGTAATTGTGGGTTACCTTCTTATCAACAATGATTGGGCTCATGACCCGTATTTTATAAGAGCACTTGTAGACTTTCTTTCTATTCGAAACAAATTCTAAACACGGCTTTATTTTCTGGGATGTCAGTGTGGCAGGTCAAGTAAAAGACCCGCTCTAACGGGTAGGGATGGGTCTCTGTTTAGTGGGTGGGGGAGCGGGGATCAATAGTTATTACGTGCAATATGGTGCAACTATTTTTAAATGCACCACATCTATAATTTGAACATTTAATAAATAAATAAATAAATAAAACTGAACATTTAGTACCTTCTACAATGGCAAATGTGGCAATAAGACTCCCTAACCTTCTCCAAAAACGTCATTCTTCATTTCTCCATGAATGATGCTCTTGGTAAGTTTCCTAGTTGTGCATGTCAATTGTACCTTCTTGTGTTTAATGCTCACATGTATCATTTTAAGGGAAAATTTAGTATATGAGTAAAAATTAAGCAATTTTCAAACTGCATATAAATTAGGGCATTCTTATTACTAGTTCTTTAGATTTAATTATGTAAAATAATCATGCTTGTGCAAACCATGAGGGAAAAGATTGAGTTTATGCATCATTTAGAACAAATAATAGATAATAAAAGCATCTATCTTCAATAGTATACACATGTATAAAATTTATCTACTTTAGATGTATATTATATAATCCTATTTATTGATTAATTGTAAAAAAAAAATAGAATTACAGGTAAGATAATAGATGATGTATGGAGTAATTTTAATTGTAAAACATACATATTTTTATTGTATTTATTTATTTGTTTATAGATTAAAAAGATTAAAATTTAATATACATAATGTGCCATGTCATCATTTTCGGTGATAATTTGGCCGGAAAATTGAATTTGTACTTAATTTCACGTATTTAAAAACTAATGGGGTTAAAAATTTAAAATGTCACATTGTAAAGTTAAGGGGGTTAATTACACTATGAATCTAAGTTAGGGGGTCATATTGCCACATTTGCCAATCTGCAATAATTATGGTAGTGGGGATAAAGAAGAGAGAGAAACATAATAATACAAAATTGCCCATGTGATAAACATAAACTAAAGAATAAGTGTGAAAAAATATGGGTGTGTTAGTTATTTGTACTATGAACACAAAAAAATTTGTCGAAAAATGAAAATGGTACAATATTTGTGAAACTTCTCGAAAAGGCAAGTGGTCTAATATTAAAAAGAAAAAAAAAAAAAAAAAAACAAAGGCAGGATTTCCAATGGTCTTTTGTTTGTTTTATCTAGTTTTGTTCTTGTTCTGTTTTTTTATTTGGGAATGGGTTTAGGGGAAGACTCAAGTGTGGAATCTATTGTTTTGCATCATTTAGGGGAGGATGACTGTGATGTTGAGGAAATGTTTGAGAAAACCAGTAGTCCAATGGATCGGAGGCTATGGAATATGCAGTATCCCTCAAGGAAGCTGGTAACTCTCTGTTAAAAGAAACCATTTTAGCAATGCTTTGGCCAAGGCCATCAAATGTTTCTGTGTCACTTTATGCTCTATGACTGATGATGTTCATATGAGATATGAGGGATATGGTAATCGAGTTCAAGGCACTGACAATTTCCATTTAACTCAACATTGCAGCTTGTGTGCCATCAAGCTTAATGATTTTTAGACAGTACCATGATTTCATGATCTCTGGTTTTAGTAGTTGATGGGGGAAGGCGCAAATGGAGTTGGGGGCTTTAAAGAAGGCCTATGAAGATCTCAAGAAAGAAGGGAGATAGAGCCAATCAATACTGAATTACTGATTGGAATTTTTTCAATCAAGAGATCTGAGTTTGAATTGAGCTATATCACTTTCCATTATAAGGTTGTCTTAATCTCATCCAAGTATCCATGGTACAACCAATGCTATTTTTCTCAGATGCTTATTTAAAGATCTGTCTAATGAGCAAATTAACATAGAACTGCCTCGTCCTGTGACCTGTGGGCGTTATGTTCTTAATGCCCCTTTGGAATTATAAGGGTGTAATTTAGAGTAATATGGGAAACTTATAATTTCATCTTACTTAAAATTGAAAAATGTTTGATTATGTTTGGACTTAGTTAAATGAAGATGCTCCCTATATTTTATTGGGAGGGAAGGACGGATTTGTATATAAATGATGCTGGGCTCGTTTTGGGAGCTGGGGTTTAGGGATTGGAAGGGGAAGGGGATTGGTGGCTGGGGAAGGAGGAGAGAGAGGGGTAGGGGTGAAGTGGGGCCCACAAACGGCAAAACTAACAGCTTCCGTCAACTGGTAGCGAATTTTAAAATATGTGATTTTTAGTGGTAGTAAAATAAAAAAAAAATATGAGCGGTAGCAAAAATGAATACCGAGTGTTTTTGTGGTACCAAAAGTCAAAATTTCCTTATAATAACAATAGGAGAGAGAATTAATAACATATTTGTACAAGTGGGTTGTGGGGTACTGGGGTTAATGGGAGAGATATAATAAAATTGTAGTAGGCTTAACTCCTTGCTAGATAGGAAGTGTTGCCATTATTACTAAACGGAGGATGTATATTATTAAAATAATATAATATGAATTTTCCTGAATTTATTTTGGCATTAAATAAAGTTTTTCTACATGCACTGCGTTTTCTTAAAATTGTGTAATTTTAAGGCTTATTAATTTTACTTTTTTTGGCTAGGGAATATTAAAATCTATATTTTTTATACTACTGCAATTTTACAGGAAGCATTTCCTTCTGGTGCCTTATGGTCTATTAAACAAGCATTTTGAGAAATTGACACAGTGTGATATGCATCTTAATTTTCTGAGCCGGTAACCCAGAAATTAATAAGTCTAGATCCTCCAAACTTCGATTTGCAGCCTTCTGTTTTTGACGACTCAAATGAATCTAAAAGTCATAGCTTGGATCAAATATAAACTAGCAGAGGACCTAGCATCTCAATCTTTGAAGATGTCGGAATACCTTTATCCTAATAATCATCTCTCTCAGTCAAACAAGTTATGGAACATCTGAGACTCTGTCTTGTGAAGCTACTTCTCCAAGCTCAGGTATCCTTTTTATCACCATGTCTGCTATGATTTAGACACCATTGATGTTGTTGTGTTTGTCCTAGACTTCTGTATTTGGAGATGGTGTCTGAAATTTGGCATGGATTCCTCAACAATTTTCTTGTTAGAATTTCTGTTTTCTTTCTTTGTACATCCTTATGTTGAATTTATTGTAGGATCTGTCAATATATCATACCAGAAGAGATTTTATATATTTTTATATTTTTTCCGGGGGGGGGGGAGGATTGGAGGATGCCGAGACTTAGTATGTCTATTACGATTACTTTCATATAAGTTTACTAGCAATAATATCAAATATGATTTGGCCTGAACCGACCTGAAGCATACCCTATCATGACCTGAATTTTGTACCAACCAAAAAAACCTCTTTGCCACCTCTAAAGCAATTTGTGGTCATGCTTCTTGTTTTATAAATGTTCATTACCATAAAAATCCTATGCTTTAATGGGGTAGGGGTGTAGGGCCGTAGGGGGTGACTGCCGACACTTAATATGTCTAATACGTTTTATTTAACATAGTAAGATTGTTGGCAATAGAATTAAATATGATTTGGCCCAAACTGACCTGATTCAGTTGAACATACCCAAACATGACTTGACATGGCCTGAATTGTACCACGTCTGAACAACCCATTTCCCACCTCTAGATGTATATCTGGTGAGCAATATATGGCCATGCTTCCTCTTTAAATGTTCATTATCTTAAGAATCCTTTGTTTTAAATTTTGGAAGGGCAGAACTATTTTATGTCTCAGTCTATCTCAGCCTCAGCATTCACTTGCTAGCTACCTAGGTGCCCGTGGTGTTGAGATATAATTCATCATGTTTATGATATCAATGGTCATCAATAATCTTGGACATTGGCTTTTAATTTACATTTGTTAAATTTCCTTCTGATCACCAAGTATTCATTTAGTGATGGATGTGTGCGTAATGAAAGTTAGTTCGAGTAGCCAATCAGGAAAACCAAAGGAATTAAAAAGCGTTGAACAGTGAATTATGCATGAGTGACCCTGTGAATCATATTGGAAATTGCCTTACGAAACAGAGGAGTTCTGAGGTTTCTAAATTCACATAAGAAGGATCCAAGTCCCAAAATAAAACGATCGAGGAATTTACCCAGCACCCGACCATGTTCTGATGAAAATTCCTCATGTTAGAGACTCAAAGGTCAACTCTTGGTACTCCCTCATTCAGAAAGATGGTGCTTCTGTTCAGAGTTCTGATGTGACTGAAGAAAGTGTGGATGGAAAAGCCAATAACCATGAACCTTAGTTATTGGATCAGAATACAACTAATGAGGGTGACAACTACAGCTGGGGGAGATGGCGGCAATCAGACACCAAGCATGCCAATAATTGATCTTTTGGGGATATGCTCCTCCATCTTCCGCGGTTTGCTTCACTATCAAAGTTCTTGTTTGACATTTGTAAAGATGGGGATAATCAAAGGCGCGATAGAAAAATGAGAAGTTTACTCTTATACTATCATTGTTTACGGGTATTGCAGATTTTCTCAAGGGGTTTGATATATGAAGTGATTGACTGTGATGACTTTTGGAGACTGAATTCCAAACTGCACCTTGTAAATTGGTAGGATTCAAAATTTTGGGTTGATGATGAATCCCATTATATAATTATATAAAGACGAACCACAGATGGGATAAGCTATAGTTTTTTTTTTTTAAGTATCTTGTCTGCAAATATTAATGTAGTTTATCTTAGAACTTTTATTCTTTGAATCCCAACTGTGACCATTAAAAGTTCTGAAATATCATGCTAGTTTTCTCTCTTGATTGTGTCATTTTCATTCCTTAATTTATAAGAAAAAAACATTAGGAAGTCCATGTGAGAGAAACAGGAATTTGTGTCCAAAATATCTGCCAAACGCAGCGAGCATTACGCATAAAGTCCTCGAAAATTTATTCTTTTTCGTCTAAAGTCTGAAAACTTGGTTTTATTGGGCTACCATACCAACGAGGAAGTCTAAAGGCCTCACAATGCTGCACAAGCAAGTGCATCACAATGACATCTTCGTAGGGTGTAGGTATTAGTACGGCCCTACACTAGGGTGTAGGTATTAATAATTAGGACAGGTCAGTGCAAAAGTAAAGTAGGCCATTAATAGGGCGAGAATGCTTTTATTCTCTGCTTCTTATCAAGATTGTTTAGGATAGTATATGAACATTGTTGACGTTATTTTACAAAAGTCAAAGGTATATGTGCATCATTGAAGCATAAAATGAACATACAGGGAACCTCTTTTAATTTCATATACTAGAAGTAGAAAAAGTAGATTGTTGCTAGCATTATTATTGTCAAATTGAGTGCATAAGTAGGAAGCTCAATGAGTCAAGCTTTAGCATAAAATTAACAGATATGTTTAGAAGCATAAATTTTAAGGTCTCAACTTGCTGCACATTGATCCGGGGATAGAAAATTCAGGTACAATTTTACAGACATATTTCTTTTGAGAATAAAAACCCCATGCGTAAACAACAGTAGTTCCATGTTTAACTTCTCCAGAAGTAGCTTAGCTCACATAAGAAAAAGTCAGCTCTATACTTAAATCTCAAGCAACACAATGATCTGTCTGAACCAAAAAATAAATCAGGCTTGCTACTAGTGTTGCAGACATCAGAGGGTATGCATCTAGTGGATCAATTCATTTATCGACCCCCTTCACCTACCTGCAAACTGCGTAATTGTATACATGATAAGAAAATAATCAGATAATAACGGAAATATATCTATAACAAACTTATGTATAACAAAAATATATCTTTACATTGTAAGACAGCAAGCAAGAACGACATCTGATATTAAATTGGTAGTTCATTGTATTTAGGTGATATTAACTACTTGTATGTTTGATTGCTAAAGTCTATCCTTGATACAGAGAGTAATTATATAGCATATCTTAAAATCTATCAAGTTAATCATGTTTACAAAATATGAATAGCTGCTAACAAGATTCGATGAGGGAGTTGTGTTATATTATCTAGAAGGCTTAGCTGAAGCTGAGGATACACACATAGGTTCATACATTTCTCTGCCTCACATTGACCCCCAATGCCCACTACATTCTACAATTTTGACAGATTTTTTTGCCAACAGAACATCAGTGAAGCAATAGCCATAATACTCCAACTACAATTAGACAAAATACATCAATAACATCAACCTGCATTGACTTTTCTGCAAAGACTAATCTACACCCAGAGAGTTGGAACACAAACTCAGACATGAATCTTAGTACTCATAAACAATAGTAAAATACAATACAATAAGACATAACACATCAATTGGGAACTTTTCTGCAAAAACTAATCTACACGCAGAGAGTTGAATGCAGACTCATAGACATAAATCCAGTACTCCGTATGCATAATTTTATTTTAAACCTGTACATAACAAAATAATTTGATGGACGTTTCATAGAGATGAGAACATGGAGTGAAAATTCAGAATAAGATTATGAGATTTTTCAAGAAATGACGCAACTACAAAAGAAAAAAATATCAACTGAAACAGGAAACAAGAAAAGGAATAAGTAACAAGTGATGTACCGATAGTTGTCCAACCTTTTAGTTTCAGCAATGACAATGAATGTAATTATTATACGAGACTTCCAAAAGGAATTAGAAAGAAAATATTAAATGTTATAAGAATCATACAACATAATGTATGTGTAAAGACATTTAGTTTAATCTATGTGTCAATTAACAGTTATTTACAATGCCTTTTCACAGTAGTTTGTTGCATATTCCGCAAAAGTACGCCTAGTCCAAAAGTTCAATTACCCATCACCACCAATAAACCAAAGAAATAATGCCAAATTACGCACTTCTAGTCCACTACAACTCATGTAACAAGGAGTATCAAAAATTCCAAACATACAAATTAACTCATAAATGACATGCTTAATACCCAATACCAAAACACACTCTACACCCATCACATACACAATACCACTCAACAACCATCACGTGTGCAACACCTATCACATACTCACATCGTCAAGACACACAAGCAATAATACGAACCCTTTGCCCACACACCTCAAACACTATTCACACACAATGTAACCTAAAACAACCCGAAAACACCACACCAAAATAGCCCCCAAATCGATATCAAATGCTTACCAGGAACAGGAAATCAATATTGAGATCCACAACTTGAAAATCTTTTAAGAACATCTGAAAATGACTCTGTATATCCCCTGTTAAATTAAAAAGTGTTAAAAAAAATTTTAAACAACATAAAAAGATGTACATTAGAAATAACAAAATATTAAATTCTTACCAACTAGAATTTTTTGCATAATCACACAGGGCGTCATAAAGTGTTGTATATATTGAAGGAAACACTTTTGTAATTAGACTTTCTCTTTCCTCAAGAGTCAAACCACCCTATAAAAGATAAAGATAAAAAAATTAGCAGCATGCAATAATTAATTAATATTTTCGTAAATAAAATAGAAAGAAAGTCATTACCTTTTTCCCGCGTATAGTATCATATTGATAGTCATTAGCATGGGAAAACACTGCATGAATAAAATTAATGACACGAAATGGTTTAACATAAAAGTTGCTGACAATAACAAGTCATTTGAGACTTCAATCCTCCAATTTTGAGTCCTAAAATTCGGAGTCATTTCATTATTGAAAGCCTTCTCATTGATTAACCTTTCTTTAATAGCCACTTCAAGAGACTGGATGAATGAAACCCGATGATTTATCGACCAGATAAACGGGTGATCAATCAACAACATTGGATGAATGTTATCACATCTGTTAGAAATAAAACATAAAATTTTTAATCATACAAGTATACCTATTTATTAAAAAAAAAAAAAACTTTATAAGTAATGTACAGTTGCAGATAACAAGCTTTTTAATAGTTACATAAACAAAATATACAAAGTATAATATTAGCATAAACTGAACTTATAATGAATAAAAAGAATATAAAAACAGATTTAAGGGAAATTTACTTACATTTTCCTGACTCTTAAGCTGTTTAAAAAATGACCTAATTCTAAAGGCAGTTCATAAGATAGCTCAAATTCTTTACGCCAAGTTTCCAAATCTGGTCTTGATCTTGGTCTTATCAAAGTAATGACTCCTTCAATAATGGACAACAAATCAGACACTTCTTTTTGCGCTTGACTGAATGTAAATTTTTCTTGAGAAATATGCAATATTTTGGCTTCTCCCTCCTCAGTAACGTAGAGTGATTTTTCCAGATCACTACAGACTTTTTGATCTGAATATATGACAAGCATGCCACATATTACGCCTCTACAATACAATAATATATTATTAAATTTCATTCATAAAATAAAAATATAATAAATTAACAAAGTAAATTTTTTACCGAAATATTGATAGAAAGTCGTCTTTGATATATTCCCACCATTTTTTACAAGTTTGAGCCATTGCTTCCGATTTGAAATCTTCAAGCTTCAATTCAAAGAACACTTTTACTGGACGGACCGGCTCAACAATTGCTACCCTACTGGAAAGGGAGTGGAAATACATTGAAAATTCAATTTTCAATAGGCATGAGTTTTTCTTAAGCCTAATTGAGACATCTGAAGTAGAATTCTCGCCAATTTTGATATACGACTTGGGAAAAGAACTCCCGCCTATCTTCATTACACCAAGATATGAAAATTCATCAAGCTGGGTCATTTCAAAGTATATCACACCATCCTCTGTAAACTGTAAATATATATTTATCAATACAGAATAGAGAAAAATGTTTAACAAATAAAACGATACATATTGTTCTAGACAACTCTTGATCCTTGTGCAATAACACTGAATCTAGACAACATATGTTCTTTAACTGCTCTTGCAATCATTATTGTTTTACTGTTCTATAGAAAATGGCTTAAAATCTCTACTAACTTTGCTTATGTTGAAGATTGTAACAGATAGCTTATTTCAAATTGATATATTAAAGATGTCTCGCTGGTTTAGTATACTATATTTGGCAGCAAAGAAACAAAGCTATGTAGACTTTTCATCATGATGATCATACACATGTAACTAGTCCTCCGAAACAAAATATGCATTATAGAATTTACAGATTTCTTCCAGGAACTAGTAGTGATGAGCTAATGATGTTAAATGGTTGAGAACTGTATTTAAACATGTAGTCTTTTAACTCTTAGTGTTTGTTACGCTTAGGTCTTGAATGTAATGGCTAATCAGTGACCTAATAATATTTTTTGTTCTTTCCAAATAAAAAAAATCATAAAATTAACGAAAAGTTGAGAAGAGATTACCTTCATCATTTTTTGGGAAGAGGCATCCACACCCAAAGATGAGGGATCCAAGGTCAAAGAAGGGATCGCCAAAGTCGAAGCGGACGCAACCAAGGTCGAAGTGGATGCAGCCTTGTCGGAGTGGATGCACCTTGGTGTGGATGCAGCCTTGAGTGGAAGAGCAGCCTTGGTGGAAGAGGAGGCAGGAGCCTTGGTGGAAGAGGAGGCAGCACGCTCATCATCCAAAAATTTACTAGCTCTTTCCACTGCAATTCTATCCAAATCTGGTTGAACTTTCGGTTGTAGTCTTTTTATCCATTTGAGACAGTTTTTGAATGCTTCATCATCTACACAGACTGCACCCTTCTGATCATGCACATATTTATAAAGGAGATATGCTTCCAAAATATTATTTTGCTTTCTGTTAGCATAACTGCAAGGCATTTTAAAAAATTTAATTAATGTCAACGTGATTAAAGATGACTAACTATTGTCTACTGTATTGTCTGTATAGAATCAATTCAAATAAATATCTTGTAACAGTTACATCATCCTGATAATTATAAAAATCCTTAGAAAGGAAGATAATAGACTTACGCAAACATAAACCATTCACCAAGTGCCAAAGTCGTTTTATGTCCAAATTCTTCGAGTCGTTTTTGCAAAGCCAATACCTCTGATCATACAAAATTAAATGAAAACATTAAGATAAATGAAGTACAAAATAATACAAATTTACAATACAAATAACACAAATATGCTTTCCAAATTTCTGGATAAGTCTTGATTTAAACAGTTTAACCTAGTCAATATTTGTTAGCTTTCTTTATCTCTCAAGTTGTATATTTCAAGATTAATATTCGCTTGCATTTCTCTATTGTTTCCTTAGGAAACTGAAAATGTTGTATTTATCTTTTCCAAGCTTTCTTTCCCTAAGCCTTAAAGCCACTCACTTGTAAAAAGAAAATAATCAAAAGCTTTCCAAATCTTACCGATCCTAGTAGAAAATAAGAATTAAAGCAAACAATAGACCATACTACATCAAACCATTTCATTGGAGGAAAATAAACTTACCTTCAAACCGTTTCAAACCTACAAGTGCATGCACTTTCATAGAATAGACTTTTAAATTTTTCAACCACTCATCATCAAGAGAAATGATAAAATCCAAGCACTCTTGTAATCTTTCTTGCTCCCACAAAGCTGAAATCTTCTTTGTTATTTCATCCTCTGAAATTTTATCCTTTGAATTCTTTTTCTTTTGCTGCCGTTTCTTCTTTGTAGCACCTTGAGTCATTTTCTTCACTCTGATTACAAGGCAAGTCATTGATAAGAAGCTAAAAAATTGACATCGCTTTACCACTCTTAACTAAACTCAAGTTATGAAAGCTACTACAACACTAACATGACTAAATCAGCCCATATAACTCAAACAAGACATAGAAGAACAATCTTTTATATTAACAACACCACACAGGGATCAAGTGATCAACAGCAGCCCCGCTGAGATAGAACCAAGACAGCAGACCACAGGAATTTCAAGAAGGCATGAAACCTAGCACACAATTCCAAATCAAGAAATTCTTGAGCCTAGATTGAATAACTTTTCAAGATCTACAACTTTCATGAAGGAACTATGGGCTAGAAACGTCTGCAGGTCTATTATTATGGGACGAACAGAACTGCAGCTGCAGGGCAATTGCAAAATAAAAGCAGTAGCAATACAACAGGCAGCAGCAGGATTATATAACAGGCAACAACAATTTCAGCAGCAGGTAAACAGAATAATAGAATATAGCAGCAACTAGACAACAAAATTATAGCAGAAGTAATAAGTTACTAACATTCAAGCAACAATACTACTTCGTTAACAATAACATTATTTCAACCTTTTCTACATGTAATGTCAGCAACACTCACATACAACAATAACATTATTTCAACCTTTATAAGCAAAAAGGCAAGACATCCAAGAGTAAATAAATTTATGCTGTCCCAAACATGAGCTTCACGTGGAGATCGATTCTAAGTGCTAGGGAGGTAATTGAGAAGGGTGCCATAAAGACTATTGGTGGGGGAAGTAGTGTCGGTGCCTAATCTCCTAAAGTTCCGAATTCTGTCACAAATGAAGGATGGTAGTGATGTTCCAATGTATGTCAAAGATCTGTGGGAAAATCAGAGCTGGAATTGGACTACTCTCTCTGAGTTATTCTCTCAGCGGGAAATTGATGGAATTTGTAGTATTCCAGTACCTCTGTTTGATGAGGAAGATGTTTGGTCATGGCATCACTCGAAAGATGGGCGTTACAGCGTAAGAGTGCTTACAACCTCTTGGTCGAAGAAGAGGTAAAGGATAAGGCAACCTCGTCAAATGGGCATGTAGTTTTTAATTGGAAGAGTATTTGGCATGCCCGTATTCCACCAAAGATCAAATTATTTGTGTGGAGAAGTGTGAGGGAGGGGCTGCCTGTTATGAGCCGGTTGATGGCTAGGGTATGAATGTAGATCAACGTTGCCCTATGTGTGGGAGGGAGAGGAAACTACTGCTCATACGCTTCTCTTCTGCCTGCAGCATCCTCTATTTGGAGACATTCTGCCTTGCGGCTTGACACAAGGGCATTTGATGCTGATGGGTTTCGAGGTTGATGCAATCTGATGTATGGAAAGATCAAGGAGACGAATTGGTGGGATATTTGGTGCCTGGCGTGGGGAATCTGGTTGAAACGCAATGCATGGGTCTTTGATAAAAG